AAAGTTATTTCAAGATTTCTCTAACAACTCTAATGGGAATGAAAGCATCTGTGGTTTCCATTGGTGATAAAGTCCCAGGTGCTGCTGTACTATGGTTTTTGCTTATATTTTTAATGGAAGAAAATGCTAAATCCAGTTAGAGGTTAGTGAAAATAAAGATGTAGTGCTATTCTCATCAAGGCTTTCTAGATTCTGTCCCCAGAGTCCTTTGGTGTTCTTTAACCGAAGGTTAAGAAACTCAGTAAGAAGGGTGGGTGGGGCAGGAGGGCAACACATGTTAATCCTGTTTGTTCTGGATTGAACGATTCAGATCCCCACTTTCTGAGGGTGCCCTGCTGGAAGATAACCCTGTTTGTAATTGTGCCGGTTCTTGGACCCCTCGTTGCCTTGATCATCTGCTACAACTGGCTGCATCGAAGACTAGCAGGTGCAGTGGCTGGGCACTGAGCAGTTGGGGACCAAGTCAGCCTGGGAAACAGAGGAGCCTGGATTTCCTTCCTTCTCTGTCACCCTACCCAATCCCAGTCCTTAGAGAAAATGTGAAGAGAACCACTTACTGAGATCGGTGGGGTTCCTCAGTGGAAAAGGACGGGTGGTCAGTTCGAATGTCCAGAAGCGAGGATGTGGGGGAGGGAGCTAGTCCTCTTCCACTGACCACTTATTTGTTTCTTTGTTTTCAGGGCACTTTATTGAAGAGCTAAGTAAGTTCTCTTTTCTTTCTATAAGCTGAAAACAAAAAGCCAGGAAAGGGAGCCACAAGCAACAGGAGGAAGAGGGAGGCTATTGAGGAATCACAATCCAAAATGAGAGGCTGGAGAGCCTGGTGGAGGGAGGACCACTCCAGCGAGGTAGACGGGAAGGAGGTCAGCTGTTAGAGACAAGTTCACAGGTGGCAGAGAGGGAAGCTGGCGCACCCCCACCTCCTGCCTGATTCGCTCCACCTGCAGTGCCCCTCAGCAGGAACCCCCCTCCAGATGGCCTCCTCCCACTCTCTATAGCAGCCGCCCTGTGCCTTTCCCCCAGGACTAGCCACTGAGGCAGGCACAGAGGCAAATGACCCCAAAGGGCTTTTTGTCTTCCTGGTTCAATGGTTTCACAATAGAAACTGCTGACATAGATTTTTCAGGTTATTTTCTCCTTCTTCTAGGAAACCCCTTCTGAGTGATGTCGCATCTTCGCGGGGCTGGAGAGCCTGGTTGTCTCATCCATCAAGCACATAGATTTTTCAGGTTATTTTCTCCTTCTTCTAGGAAACCCCTTCTGAGTGATGTCGCATTTTCGCGGGGCTGGAGAGCCTGGTTGTCTCATCCTTCAAGTTGCACACTCACTGGCCTCTCTGCTATGGGACATTCCAATCTGCACTTCCAGGAACACTTTGAATTCCAAATATAATTGATTTTCCATCTTCTATGTCTACCTTTTCCTTCTCCTTTCTTCCATCCCCCCTTTTGCTACCCACATCTTTCCACTCCTTTCTCTAATCTTCCATCTGGAAGCCCTCTCTGGCTAAGTCCAGGTGGGTGCCCCTCTCTCCATTAGAGGACCCCTATGCTGGAGAATAACAGACAGGACGGTCTGCCATGAACTGGACACCAGGAACCTCCTCACTGCAAATTACAGCACAACTTTGCAAATGCTTGTTGTTTCTTCCAAAACCCCAGCAGTGACTGGGCAGAGCTGAGAGCTGTGGAGGGTAGAAAGAATAGGAAGAGCCCAAACATGGAAGAGCTGAGTGAGCTGCAGAGAAACGATATGCGGAGCCCTAACCAAAACCTGGAGATGGGCAGAAACCCACCAAAAACTGGCCAGAGCTCTATCTCATCTTGGCAGCCGACTAGAAACTAGGGAAGCAAGGGATTTGAACTGGGCAGCACATCTGTTTCAGAATGTTCCCTTTCCCCTTTTTTGTGGGGGGGAGGTGACTGGCTGGTAA